GTTTCTGTGTCCCCTCCCTGGAACATCCTGTTTTTGTCCACTTTGTCTATCCCGCGCAGTATTTTATATGTCGTTATCATGTCACCCCTGACCCTCCTGTCCTCTAGTGTCGTCAGGCCGATTTCCCTTAATCTTTCTTCATAAGACATTTCCCTTAGCTCTGGAACTAACCTTGTCGCAAACCTTTGCACTTTCTCTAGTTTCTTCACGTGCTTTATCAAGTGCGGGTTCCAAACAGGTGCTGCATACTCCAGTATGGGCCCCCCCTCAAGGAAGGTTCCTTGATGTTGGTGAGGGGCTCTTGATTTAGGGAATTGGATCTGTGCTCCAGTTCCCCGAATTAAGCCTGAATGCCTTCCACATCCCCCCCCCCAGGCGCTGTATAATCCTCCGGGTTTAGCGCTTCCCCCTTGATTATAATAATAATAATAATAATAATAATAATAATAATAATAATAATAATCCAGTATGGGCCTGACGTACACGGTGTACAGTGTCTTGAGTGTATTTAGGTACAGGTACACAAGTACAATTATCATAGTGTTTTTGCATGTTTGTATGTTTTGCAGTTTTTTGCATATTTATATAATGTTTGGCATGTTATATGTTTTGGAGTGTTTTTTTTTTGTTTTGCATATTTGTATAATGTTTTTCGGTGTTTTTGCATGTTTTTATAATGCTTTGCAGTTTTTTTCATGTTTAAATAATGTTTTGCAGTTTTTGCATGTTTATATGTTTTGCAGTGTTTTTGCTGTATTTTTGCAGTTTTATAAGTGCTTCTTTAGTGTTTTGCAGTTTTTGTATTTTCTGTGTGTGTTACTTTTGCAGTGTTTCATAATTTTTAAATGTTTCTGTAGTGCTTTCTGGAGTGTTATTGCAATTTTTGTAAAATTTTGTAGTTTTCTATATAATTTTTATTTTTAAATATTTTTGCAGTTTTGCAGTTTTTGTAGATTTTTTGCACTGTTTTTATAGTGGTTTGTGCTGTAATGTTTTTGCAGTGTTTCTTGTACGTTTTTGAAGTTTCTTTTGCTTAGTTTGTGCAGTGTTTGTGTAGTTGTAGTTTTTTTTTTTTTGCAGATTTTAGTGTTTGTAAAAATTTTTATAAAAAATAAAAATTTAAAAAATATTTTTTAGAATTTAAGAAATATATTTCCTTTTTAGTGTTTTCTAATGTATTTGCAGTTGCTTACAGTGCTTTGTAGTATTTTTGTAGCATTATTACAGTTTTCGTGCTATATTTGCAATTTTTTCAAGTGTGGTGTTTTCGGTGGTCGATTATTATTATAATTAAAAAGAAGCGCTAAGCCACAAGGGCTATACAGCGATCCCTAGTCAACTGGTCACTTAATATTACCGAAGGTGTACATAGCATATAGGCGAGAGATGCTATGTGGGGTGTAGAGGTGCACCCGTAGGTAGAGATGCACCAGTGGGATGCAGAGGTACACCACTGGAGTGTAGAGGTGCACCCGTGGGTAGAGATGCACCAGTGGGATGCAGAGGTATACCACTGGAGTGTAGAGTGCACCATAAGGGTGCAAAGGTACGCTACTGCAGTATAGAGGTACATGTGGGGTGTAGAGGCATATTACTGGAGTGCAGAGGTACACCACTGGAGTGCAGAGGTATTCCACTGGAGTGCAGAGGTACACCACTGGAGTGCAGAGGTACACCAGTGGGATGCAGAGGTACACCACTGGAGTGCAGAGGTACACCAGTGGGATGCAGAGGTACACCACTGGAGTGTAGAGGTGCACCATTAGGGTGCAAAGGTACGCTACTGCAGTATAGAGGTACATGTGGGGTGTAGAGGCATATTACTGGAGTGCAGAGGTACACCACTGGAGTGCAAGGTACACCAGTGGGATGCAGAGGTACACCACTGGAGTGTAGAGGTACACTATGGGAGTGTAGAGGTGTGCCAGTAGAGGAGGAATCCATTGGCTGGGGGGCAGAGGGACTGCAAAGGTACCTTTAAATGCAGATGATGAATTCCAAAATTTGGCTAACTGAAAACTCTATTCCAAACGATTGTTGACGAGTACTGAAGAGTGGCAGCAATTAACGTTATCTTACAAGAGAAGTGATGAGTAACCTCAATCCTCTACATCATCTCGTGGCTATATAGCATTAGGTTTGTTACGGGATTGACTGAATAAACCAAGACATGTTACCTCAGTCTTCCATTCTCCTTCAGGCACAAAAATTGCATTCAAGGTGGTGAAAGGATTACACTTCAAACATCTTTGAGAATTATCTCCTTGGACAACTATTTCAGCCTCAACTTATTTCACAGTATGGTTTTGTGGTTTACAATGAATAACACGCAAGGCAATAAACTGGTTACCAACTCTAGAGGCTGAGGAAGTGACCACCTGCATTCAAGATTGAGATAGTAACCTCCACCATTCAAGGCTAAAGAACTCCGTCACCTTCATTCAAGGCTCAAGGGATTGAACACATTCTTGCAAGACACTTGTCTAAGACGTATCTTAAACAGGTCCAACATTCCTCCAGCAGTATCTGTGGTGTCCTTTTTAATAACATACAAGCTGTAACTATAAATGTATTAAAGATGACACATTAGGAGCTTCTAAGAAATTTTTACTAAGTAATGCTTCATTCACCAGAAGCTTAACATTTTAGCATTCCAAGGCCCCGTTCAGGGCTCATATCTGTAAGGTTCCAGTGCCCAATCAGAGCACTTAAAATTGTTGACATTGCCTTTAGCCAATAAGGGAACTGTTTGTCATCCTCAAGTAACCAATCAGAGAGCCCTAGCTCCTTCCTAAGGGAAGTGAGGAGTTGAGATGTGAATG